TTTAAACGATGGATCTTATAAAGTGAAAATTCTTAGATCGAAACCAGTAAATGAAAATGAGAAGGCCAATTTTTTGGTTTCCAAAGGCGCAGATATTGTATGCGCGGATTATAATAAAGAAGATGAACTTGTCAATGCTCTTGAAGGAACTGACGTTTTAATCAGTACCATAAGTTTACGATGTGACATTTTTAATATTCAATGTAATTTATTGGCTGCGGCTAAAAAAGTTGGTGTAAAAAGATTTATTCCCTCCGAGTTTGGCATGGAACATACGTGGGTTTTTAAATTATTTATGAATATGCGTATAGGAAAGCCTCAGTTAATTCATTTTTTCTCTAATAGACCCAGCACCGAAATTTTATTGAAGGAGACGGGTAGATTCCAGAAAGAACTAGAAAAAAGCGGACTCGAATATACATTCATATACAATGGATTATTCCAAGAATATCTTGGTTGGATTGGATTCGATGTTAAGAATAAGAGCGTGAAATTCTATGTGGATGGCAATACAAAGCTCGTTTCCACTTCTATGGCTGATATTGGAAAATATACCGTGGAGTCGCTTAAAATACCGGAAGCCCGTAACGCTCATATTAGAGTTGCTGGTGCAATCTTGACATTAGATGAGTATCTTCAAAAGTTTGAAGAAGCTTCGGGTAAGCATTGGTTTCGTTTCGTTTTAAATGCGAACTTCAGAAACTATTGCTCATGATAATGTTTTCGTAAAGGATCAAAGTGGGAAGTTGTTTACGATAAAGAAATTCCTCAAACCGGCGCAGAAAAATTTAAGGCCATGGCAATGGAAAATGCTTTTTTCGAAAATATAGACAATGACAAATTCAGCTTCTCTCCTCGTCCCGTCACCGAAGTTATTGGAGATTTAGTATCGAATACCAAATAATTTTCAGCTCACGTTCTTTAAAATTACGTGGTTAATTTAAATTTGCTGTTATATTGAGGCATAATTTTTATTCATCCAAGGAAAGGATGTTATATCTAACGAAGAATGTTTACTTTAAAAATTATTATTTTAAATTTTCAATAAATATGGCTGATTCTTTTTGAAAACGACATAAATGTTATATACGATTTTTTGATCCCTATTTTTTGAACAATGCATATACAATATAAATTCTGGGAGTACAATTATAAAGTCAAAAAAATTCCTGTCCACCTTCATATATACAAATAGGTATACTATATATACAGTATATACAGTATATTTACATATGTTACATTCGCTGATGACTTTTTTATGAAGGACCTACAGAGTAGAGCTTTCTATTTACTGACACGCAGAGGGGGTACGAAATTTAAAATTATAATACTAATATTAATATATTAAATATAATTATATTATTCAGATTAATCATAAAATTAAATTTTAAAACAAAATCCAAAAAATATTTAACAATACTATTATGTATTTAATTAATTTATTATATACGTAAATGAAAAGATCTACGGATCAATACTGTAGTACAGTGATCAATGCTTTCAAATCTTTATTACAAGATATTAAGTTCAATTCTAAATTTTAAAAAAATTAGAAAAATAATATTTTCCCAAAAATCATTTAATAATATTTGTTTCAAATAATTTTTTTATAAATATATTATTTTATAAAAAAATAATTTCATTATTTATAATACTTATAAATTAAAATAATATAATATTTTTAATATTGGATATTTGCAATTAAAAATTAATAAAATTTTATATCTAATTACAGTATATTACCATAATATTAATTATCAAATCTGTTATAATATTTATTTAATGATTTTAAATATTTGACTTCAATTTTTGTTTTATTTCTTTTTTATTAATTTATATATTTGTTGATTATATTATTTATATTTATATTTTTTAAATTTGTAATATTTACTTTCTTATAAATTTAATTCTAATTGGATTAAATTACAATATTATATATATCATTTTATTATTATTATTATTTTAATATATTTATTTTATATACAACTATTTGTTTGAATTTAAATAAATTATTTTTTAACTCTTTTTTTTATTAAAAATTAATAAATTTAAAAACAAATTTTGAATATTTAAATTATTTCAAATAGCTTTTGTTATAAAAAAAATATTAAATACAAATATAACAATTATATTTATATTCATATGATTATTTCTTATTTTTTTAAATTTTATTTTGTATTATTAATATAAATCAGATTTTTTTTATTTTAATAAAGATTTCAAAAATTATAGATTAATATATATTATTAATTTAAATTTTTTTGAAAAGCCAAGCTAATATAATTTTTATTGTTAAGATAATTCAATAAATATTAATTAGTTTAATCTGAATTTTATTCTTATACAACTTAAGTTTTTATAATTAAACTCTTAAATTTAATTTATATATAGAAAAGGCTTAAACAGTTAATAATATGATTATATTAATTTGACAAAGATAACTTTTCATATTAAAGTATAATTAACTAGTTTTTATTTAATATATCTAATATTGATCTTCTAATCTATTTATTAAAATTAAAAAAAAATAAATACAATTGAAAATTTTTTGATTTTTATTATAATTAATTAATTATATTATAATAATAATAAATATTAAATTTGATAGTAACTATGATATTGTTTAAAAGAAAAAAGATAAGAGACATAATTTTATATTAATAAGCAAAAATTTTGAACCAAAGTAATGATTTGTACAAACTTCATAATAAAACTTTGCAAATGGATCAAAATAGTAACAAGAAGATATTTTATTGAAAATAATAGCAAGGGATAAGTTCCAATTTATCTTTAAAGCAAAGCATGATTGTTTTTTTTTTTTTGAGAATCTATATACAGGATAAAAAATTCAAAAAAGAATTATTTCTAATTTCACTAGTAATTAGTATTGTAGGTCAGAAATATATAGAAATATCTAAAATTTATATAAAAAGTATTTCATATTCGGAATTATTCAAGGACTTAAGGTTTAGGATAATATAGTAGTCATATACCAATATACAGATGATCCCCCAAAATTATTGTGGGATTAAACTTTCATAGTTCTTAATTTACTAATGCAATAAATAATCCTTTAAGTACAATATATGGCTTATTGGAATATCCCTTTAAATTTTATAATAATTAAAGTGTGATATAAAGATGCAAGTTTTTTTTTTCGTTTCTTGTAATTCTATTTCTTTTATTTTAACCTTTGATCTTTGGTTCTTTCGTATAAAAGTATCGAAAGTCTATTTATTATGTTCAAGCAATTGTCTACATAAAATACTCAATTATTTCTTAACGTGACAATTAATCACTTTTTTCGTTATCACAAGTTTGAATTTCCTTTTCCATACTAACTTTGTTTTCACCACATTATTTTATTACAATATGTATTTATCATATGCTTTAAAAAGGATTTAATTAATGAGTTACGCTAATCGCTCCGCTACAGAATATCAATGTAGTACGACCATTTTTAAACCATATAATTTTTCATGTAGAAAATGACAATAGAAACTAAATAAACTATTTTTTCACTTTTTTTGACGAACCAACTTCTCCTAATGAATTATCCCTTCTTTTTAGTAAACTCCCACTTGATAAACTTTCAGAGCTTAAATCAATTCTCAGAGCGTATTGCTTTACGCGAGTTTTAATCCAACCTGGCATTCTCCTAACATTAGCACTATCAGTGATGACAAATTTCTGTTTTTGAAATTGATCGTATAACTCAGCTGGTACAACAAAATAAAAGGAGATTTCACCCGTAGCTCCCAATTTACTATAAAGCTTCATCAGACCAATAATATTAATAGGAAGATTTCTGGCGGCAGTCATCTGGAAGAGAATATCGGGAGCAATAATCGCACCAATCGATGGAAAATTTTTATTAGCTGGTCGATAGTACTTTCCATCCTCGATTGTTAGAATTGTAGAAAACCCAAGTATCTCGTTCTGATTTTTCACATTTTGTGTTGATCTTTTATTTTTACTAGATTCTAGAGAACGAACTTTGAAAGTTCCTCCATTTCGCAATATCCGGTGAGCCATCTGCTCGAAAATTATATTCATCATAAAGCTTAGTTCAAATTGTGTTTGTGATTTGCCTAATATTGATGATTTAAGTTTCTCGGTCATTATTTCACCCACATAATCAGATGCAAATGCTATACTTTGTAGTGTATAGGGTTCCTCATTAACATATTCAACCTCTTCATCACTTTCGACTTCTATATCGCTTCCATCCTCATCGCTTCTATCAATCAGAGGGTTCGTGCAGATATGAATAAGTTTGTGACTGATACCATCTCCGCTACCGCTTCCACCAATATAATTAAATATCTTTTCGTCACATACAGAAATTGCCTTTTCGAGCATGCGTTGCTGAGTTGGATTGCGAGCCTTTTCCAGGACGAATCGAGGGATCCCTCCCCATCTCAGAAACAACTGTTTTACCTCGGATTTTCCAAGATGATTATGCATCACATCCCTGCATGCTTCGATCTCCTCCCACTCCCACACTGGCATGTACCGTATTTCCGTCCCGAAGTAATTATCAAAGTCTTTATAATGACTCCACACGGGTGAACAGATGAGAATTGTCTTGGCATCAACATCATCTGGTTTTTTATCATCTACAATATACCAAACGTTAGGATTATTTAGGTATATTCTAATTTTGCTAGAATCACTTTCTCTGTGTAGATAGCAGGCTCTTTCCTGCTCAAATAACATAACACTATTTGATACACTCTTGGTATTAGTGTCGTATAGGATTATTTTATTTAAAGATGCGAGGTGATAAAGTAGGTAGTAGCCAAAAAAGGTTTTTCCGATTCCTGGACTACTCGATATACGTAATTTTCTTATATTGTTATCTAAAACAATATTGAGCAGGTCATTGTAGCATTTACGAATGAACAGTGTCGAAGGTTCTCCATTACTTCCAAAAAAATGGGCATCCTCAGACAATTGGAAGAATCTATCATCAGCATTAAAATTCGTATCCTTTAAAGCCTTCCAAAAGTTCTCCAGACTTTTATTCTCATATTTTTTGCCACCGCAATGATATTCTGTATAATAGGAATAAATAATAGAAATGACAGTGTAAGCTTGAACTATCAATGTGACACAGTTTCGGCGTCTTTATTTCAGTAATATCGAATGACAGGATTTTGCCGAGACAATGCTTTCTCCACATATGATATTCTGGTGATTCTTAATGTTTATATTTAACTCGCAAACCGCATAATACCCATCTTAACTCATTTCTTGGATACGTACCAGGTATATTTATAATAACTTGGAGAGGTGTGCCCGAGTCATTCATAAAACTTTGGTCAACAACGAGTCCAGAATCTAAGTCTTCTTTTTTGTCGTACCTTCTTAAATTAATCTGGTTAACATCAATGCCATCTAATGTACTTTGTAATTTTTTCTTGATCGCTTTTTTCAAGTCATCTATAACCTCTCCATCGAAAACAATCTTGGTTGGTTGACTGTCACCGTACTTGACCCAGATTTTAGAAGGGACTGGAACTGACGAGGAGCCTATGCGAAGGCCCTCGAGACCTATTTTTTCACAAAAGGTAATGAGTGACTCCACTACAAAAATAGGTATAAGTATACCTTACCACTTCGTAGGGGGGGAACATATTCTAACAATTCGACACCTTTGCCTTGTGCAGTTGTACTAGCAACGGTAGGTGGAACGTCCTCTACGGAAGATATATTTTTTTCCTGAGACTTCATAAATGTTACGGGGCGCGACATCATGTTTGACATTTATCATGTGTATTATATATACTGTATTCGGATCGCGTAATATCATGCCTTACAATAACACGTATAAAAAAAGTGTCAAACTTTAATCAAATGATCACCTCACTTACGACATTCTTTTAACATGAGATGCCATGTCATCACCAAGATTCTAAACCGCGACTCGACTTGGATACCTGTTTTTCATAGTGAATATATAGGAAAAAAATACCGCGAATTAGTACATCATTAGCGTTTGGTATATTTTAAAGAAGCAATGATCATTAATCAGAATTTCCGAAGGTAGTGTTTAGTATTACGTTCGAAACGGTACAAAAAGGGTTTATTATTAGTAAGATTCATTGAAATTCCACTAAAAGCTCTATTACAACAAAAGAGACTATATATTTTTTCATCATAATAATCACACTACTCTATCGAATACCTTTTATGATCTCCATTACATGCCAGGCATGTTTCTTAATAGTCAAAACCATTACAGTATATTAATTACTGTATTTACATGATAAACCAGATAGTTGCTCCAATACCATTTTTTATATGGATCATAAAGAAAGATAGAAATTGGGAAATGTCTTTGAACTAGATGAAGCAGAAACATGAGATCTAATAGGTAATCTTTTTTTTCTAATTCAGGAATTAATATTTCAAGTACATTGAGTATAGGCAATTCTGTGGATACATTGACAGATATTTCTGCCTGAGGTGTGCCTAAAAATTTTTTGATCTCACCTATTGATTCACATAGCTTGGTCCCAATCTTGAATCGATAAAAAATATACTGCTACTATCTTTTTCCACTCCTAAAGTGTTACTACCGAATGCTTTCTTACCATTATCTTTGCATTATATGTAAGGTACTTCTGACATCAACACAATCATTAGATCATAATGAAATATAATCATCATGCATTTTATCTATTTTCATTTGGGTATACGGATATTTTCTTGAGAACTCTATTCTGAAATGGTTAATAGCTTATAAAAAATTCAGGTGCATCAGTTAATACTATAAAAAAAATTCAGGAAAAAAAATGCCCACAATTAGTCTATTGGTATTGTTTCTATTTTATTCTTGTTATTTATATCTAGAAATTGACCTTGCCTTATACTATTATCGCGAGTCTTACAGTGATATTTACTTATACTACCAGCTCTGCTGTCTTTCGCTTTTGGTTCAAATTCTATTTCTACCTATTTTCAAATATATAAGTATCTTTACATCGTTTCGAATTTTGAGGATAAGGGTTCAGTCAGCATATTGAATAATACGGACACAGTAAATATAATGTGTTCGCTTTAAATAAATATCGTAAATAGGATCTTGTTTTTTAAAAAATTTCTAATTTGAAATATCAATTAATTAGCCTTACCTAATATAGCATTACTAATGAGTTTCAAAAGTATAATTAAAAATATTTTTGATAACTTTTAGATATGGGTTATATGATTTTCATATAGATAAGTATTATACTAAAGCTTAATACCATTGAAAAAAGCTGAAGAGCTGCTAATGTGAAATGAATTTGAGATAAAAAGACTTTTAATAATGTATAATATATAGAGAGTATACTGAAAAATAAATAAATTTTTAATAAATTTTTTAAGCCAATTAAAAGAGTTTTAAACTATAATGGTCATCTTGTCTTTACTATTTTCTACCAAGGGCATATCACATTTATAGAATATTTATAGTATATATAAATCTTGGAATTGTTTTTTAAACCAATTTTATTAAAAATTATTTAAATTTTATAAAAGTTTAAAAATATGTTGTTAAAAACCTAGCAATAACCTTCAAAAGATAAAATCTCCAAATTAATACAAAATTAACAAAATAATATCTATACTTAAAACAAAAAAACAATATATAAATAAGCTTTATACATATTTAACAAAGTTCTTGCTTCTAAAATTAAATATAAAATACAAATTTATTTTATTTTATAGTAAGTTACTATAAAGTTTTTAAAATAGTAATATGTATAAATTATAAGTTAAACTTTAAAACTTTTGTAAAATTATAAAAAATCCAATTTTTATTAAAAAAATAATGATAAGCTTTTATTTAAAGTTATTTAATAAAAAAAATATTTTTATAATAAAGTTTAAAATTAATTAAAGTAAATAAAAATATTATTATAACTTTTTATAAAAATATTAAAATATATATACTGTATATTGTAAGAGGGACCAAAAAAATTAGATAGATTCAACATACTGTATGTCATCCTCGCCCAATTGGGGTTTAATTGGGGCTTGAGGGATTTTTGGGATTTTTGGGATTTTAGGGATTTTTG